CTTCATGGGGTCACAAAGAGTCGGACACGACTTAATGACTAAACAACAACAACCATTTCTTTGAAAGCAGGACATTATAACGAATGGATCAAGGCTGAAATTTACAGGTGACGTTTCTGACATTCACATACAACTGTTTACGCTTACGTTTATTTGAAATTTTTGCAAATTTAAAAACATAAAACAAATATGGTCAATTAATGAAAAACAGTTGAAATAAAACTGGAAACCATACAGTTAAAGTTCAATCATTTGACCTAGCCTCTTAATTGGGGAGTTAAAACTTACCAACTAAGACAATAAGTCTGTATTTTTCATTAGGTTGCCGCCTATATTTTGCTACTTCTTCATAGGTTGGGACATCTGCTGTGTCGTACTGATCACTCTTCTTGCATTCATACATTGTCTTGTTTGTTTTTCTATCCTTTCTGCTTAGGCGAAAACTTCTCCTAAAACCAGCTGCAGTTATATTAAAAAAAAAAAAAAAAGCAACTGTAAATGTAGGCCACCTCAAACAAATGTTCCTTCAAACAAAACGTTTACTATTTTTGTTATGAATATTTTTCACCATTATTTCTACATATAAATATATATAGACTACAATACAGAATGCATCTATTCCTCCAAATATCATAAGCTTGTGCAAAGTCATGTATTAGGACAGTGAAATTACTGTGACTTTTTTTTTTTTAATCTCTGTTGACAAATCAGAAAATACTTCGGAGATTCCAATCTTCCTCCAAAGAGGATTGCAGCTCATTTGGGCTACTCAGTTATTTTTTCTTGAAGCACTAATTCTATAAATATGTATTGTAGATAAAAATTAGAGAAGTTCTCTAAGATTTGTTCAGTTTCACAGATGAGGCATATTTCTCAAGCATTGAAAATGAAGAACATACTCTGGCCCTCAAGTCTGCAAAATTTTCTAAAAAAACCCCTTAAACCAACAGACACCCAGAATTGTAATAAGTAACTGCAGGACACATAGTATACTTTAACAGGACACAGCTTGATCATCTACATATATCCCTATTATGAATAGCAAAGTTCATATAGTTGATATCTACATTGATTCAAAGTGACATATATTTCTAGAAAGGCATTAATAATACCACAGTCTTTAACTCCATTAAAAATAATGCAATCTTTTCAGTAGCAAGAAGCAGGTTTTAACAACAAAATCACAATGCATTCATTAAACAAGGTATAAAGAAGGATTAAGGGAAAAAATCATATCATGCAATATAGTCACTTTGATAATAAAATAGGTGGAGTAAAAAAATTAGAATAGTCAATATAAATAATCTACAGTTATTTAGATGTATTGGTTTTAAATACTGTTCTTTGTTCCATTTATTCAACCAGAATGGTATTTCTGACTTGGAAATACTGGTGTGAAGTATTATGCTGTGACAGAAAACAAGCTTTCCAAGGTAAACCAATGAATGGGGGATTTCAAACCCGATATCCCAATTTAGTATTATATACACTGAATATCATTCTCAATTATGTGTTTATCAAAAAATTATTACAGAGTCAGCAAATCATAAACATTAAGATCAGAATGAAGTTAATTAAGTACAGTTTCCTGAAGATTTGTTAATGTTTTACAAAAAATCCCTTTCAAACTCAGTTCCTGGTTGCTACACCAATAAGTTTATGTTATTTTCTTGTCAATAACACAGAGATGGCTTGCCATCTTCTTCCACAATATATTTTTGACCTCCAAACGAGTCTACAGCCAGTTGTGACAGACTGCTAGAAATTGGTAGAAGTTTCAGGGCACTGATGTGGAGATTACAGGTAGTCCTCGCTTAATGACCACAATTGGGACTGGCAACTCCATTGCTAAGCGACACAGTCATTAAGTGAGACATCATATGACCATGACTTGTGATTTTACTGCCAGCTTCCCCATTGACTCTGCTTGACAGAATCTGGCTGTGAAGTGTGCAAATGGTGATCATGTGACCACAGGATGATGTGACAGTTGTAAACGCCCACTGGTTGCGAAGTGCCCGAATCTCGATCACATGGCCATGGGGGCACTGTGACAGTTGTAAGCGCAAGGATTGGTTGTAAAGTTACTTTTTTCAGTGCAGTCGTTACACTTCAAATAGTTACAACTTCAAATAGTTGCTAAACAGGGCAGTCGTTAAGCAAGGTCTACCTGTATATTCTTAACTGTTTTCAGTGCAGTCGTTACACTTCAAATAGTTACAACTTCAAATAGTTGCTAAACAGGGCAGTCGTTAAGCAAGGTCTACCTGTATATTCTTAACTGTTTTCAGTGCAGTCGTTACACTTCAAATAGTTACAACTTCAAATAGTTGCTAAACAGGGCAGTCGTTAAGCAAGGTCTACCTGTATATTCTTAACTGTTTTCAGTGCAGTCGTTACACTTCAAATAGTTACAACTTCAAATAGTTGCTAAACAGGGCAGTCGTTAAGCAAGGTCTACCTGTATATTCTTAACCGTTTAAAGGTTGGAAATCTGCCAAGATTTGCAATATACACACCACCCACTCCCCAACTGGGGCCCAACTGTTATCATGTATGATGGTACTGATCTCCACTGATAAGGAAGTATACAGTATAGATACTGCTGAGCAGATTAGATCAGGTAGTGATTTAGACACTGTCAACACATTGCAATCAGAAGCATTCTGATCCCAAGGAAATCCTGAGTGAGATAAAACCTTGTGAAGACGGAATAGCCATAGTAATATAGTGCTATGGGGCCAATTGCATTTGGAATGGTGCTATTCTGAGATGAATGATGATGGTGCTGAGAGGGATCCTAGGAGTCACTTAGATTTTGATGGTTTCAATATTATGAGCTTCATGAGGTATTGGGGCAATGGGGGTTTGAGTAAAGATTAGAATAAATAATTAAGAATGGGCAGTTCGAATCCATACTGACTGCTTCACAGGCTGCCCTTCCAGAAAAATGTGAAGGCAGGACAGTGGCATGAAATTTTGGCAAGGATATATGCTCCAATGCCACAAAGACAAAATAGACACTTATAGTGACCATTTGTGGGGAGGAAAAGCTGCAGTATTTTAAAACAATAGCCCCCAGCAAGCCATAATACAACTAAGGAGCTCCAAAAGACATTTGGGAAAGGGCAAAATACAGAATTACATTCTCTTAAGAAATCCAGAAGAAAGAAGAAACGAGAGAAAAAAGATCTGGAGCAGACAAACCACAAAGGAACACTTTTCAGCGTTCAACACTGTTGTGGAAAAAACTGAAGAGATTTTGGCAGTCAGGCTCTATTTAGGGAGTTAGCGAATGGAGCCCTTGCTTTTTCACCCTAGCTAAAGAATGTTACAGAACCACATCTGTTACAGAACTGATCTGCACAGGCACAAACTATCAAGGTGATGCAAGGAGATTACAAAGAATATTTATGTTTTAACTCTGGTAATAATGAAAATGCAAATAACATTATGGATTTTAGAAATACAGGTGGCCCTTGTTTAACGACCACCTGTTCAGCTATCTTTCAAACTTACAATGGCACTGAACGAGTAGTACTTATGACCGGTCCTCATACTTATGTCGGTCACAACATCCCTGTGGTCATGTAATCGCCATTTGTGACCTTCTTTGCCAGCTTCCTACAAGCAAAGTCAATGGGGAAGCTGGCAGGAGGTTGCAAATGGCGACCACATGATGTCCTCGCTTAATGACCTGCAGTGATTCACTTAATGATGGCAACCAGAAGTGCAGGAAATTCCATTGCTAAGCAGTGTGGTCACGTGGTATCGCACTTTATGACCATGTTGCTTAGCAATGGAAATTCTGGTCCCAATTACTGTTGTTAAGCGAGGACTACCTGTATGTAGGGTCCACTTTGGAGAAATTCTAAAATAAAATAATTTCCTGTTTAGTCAGCTATGGGGAAACCTGTGCAGTTTCATAAATCATGGTAGCAGAGAAAAGTAGCAGTCACAGATACAGCTAGGCCCCTACTAAATTTTAATATTTCTTTAAGCATTTCTTTCTTTGCTGAATTTGTGTCCACTGAAATCACAAGGGTCTTTAGACACTTACTTGCTTGATAGTTATAGGCTCGCTTCATATTTGATCACTAAAACACCTGGAAAGTAAACCAACTGTATAATCTATTGTTGCCAAATCAATGCAGCAGAAGTTCGAGTGGCACAGTATTTACTGGTGAAATACAGCTTAAGCTGATGGATACTAGAAACTTACAAACAAGGCCTGATGAAGGTGTCACATCTTAAAGCCAGCAAAAGGCTTGTTATTAATATAGGAAAGACATTTATGGAAGAAAAAGGAATATGTTACTCCACATAAATGCAATGAACACCACTCCTCAGAGAAGCTAAGATCACTGAGGGCCAGTGAACATGGCCAAGTGTTCCCACCACTCAACAGTGCTCTAAGAGCAATACTTTCCTGTTACACACAGAAGTGAATTATCAGTCCATCATCCACTTAAACAGAGAAAACAAAAGGACTTCAATTGGAGGTAGCACACAGTAGAAGTCAAGAATCCTTTGTGCAATGCTAGGGTCTAGGGAAGAAGAAAAGTTTTTATATCCTCATTTTAAAATTAAGATGAAAATTTTGCCTCATGTTCTCAGATTGGGCAGTTGAGACATCTCAGAAATATGGAATATAAACTGAAATCAACATAACAGGGGCCAGGGGGGGGAGACAACACCTACAAAGATCAGAATTGTGCAAGCAATGGTTTTCCCCGTGACACTGTGAGAGCAAACCTGGACTTTGAAGAAGCAAGATGAAAGACCATGGATTCTTTTGAACCATGGATAGCCAAAAAACAACAAACGACAAACAAACAAATCCCGCCCCCCCCCTGCCCCCCCAGCAAATTGTTCACAGAACAGAATCCAGAGCTCTCATTTGAATTTAGAATTATCAAATTTTGGGCACACTATGTGAAGACCTAGCTCTCTGGAGAAGTTTATAATGTTAGGAAAGGTCTAAGGAAAGAGAAGAGGAGGATGGCCAACAGCAAAGTGGATGGAATCTGTTACAGTGGCGATGGGTGCATCATTGGAAGACCTGAAAGACCAAGTGAGGGGCAGATTGTCCTGGAGAAAAATCTATCTATATGGTTTCTAAGAGTTGACCCTGACTTAATAGCGCATAATCAATCAATCTAACAGAGGAAATAAATTCTAAAATCACCAAAAAAGGAAGTAACTTAAGTAGCATTTCTCCACAGTGCCTTACTTATGATGCTACTTCATAATGCACTGTGATTCCTGAGGCATTGTTAAGAAAGAAGGGTATTCTTGCCAACCCCATCCAAATTTCAGCAGCAAAGCAATTATATATAAAAAAAAAAGAGAGAGAAAACGTCTACAATTTGATCCAATAAGTCTCTGTCCCAGCATGAAAATTCTGTTTCTCTTTTTCATTTGGCCTCAACTTTCCAGAAAGTACAGCTATTGCTGCA